AGTAAATATTTTAATGTATGTAAATAATTGCTATCGCTGATACAAAACCGCTAAACATTGCGGTAATGTGACGCAGGGAAAAATATACAATTTTGTAAATATATAGTTTTCCTTGCAAAAAGTATAAAAAACAATAAATACACACATATCAGCTCGTGATAATGTGTAGCCAGTTTTTAATAAATGAAAATTATATGTAATTTAAATCGTATTAATGAATTTAGTTTTCTAATCCAATAAATACAAATATGTTTACTGATGCAATAAAAAAGTTGCATACAGTTCTAACATTCGTATAAATAAATTGAAATAAATAAAAAGAATAACATAAGTAGATTTTATAAAATTATCATTTTTATTATCAGTACAATGAGAGCGTAGACGCCACTTGTACTTGCACTATTATATTTAAAAATTTGTACGTTATGATTTCGGCTTCAGATCGTGTTTGACCGTTTTTGGGACTTTTATTTATTTTTATCAAATTTGATATTTTTTTTAAATCTCATTTCGTACATGTCGTTGTTGTAACAGCACACAAATTCCACAACGAGTTTTTGGCGAATGATGTAGGAGGAGTGACCAGACCTTAGTCAGCCATAAATACTTGTTCCGGTTACTTAGATACGACTGTCGTGGTAAAGTTGTTATAACCGAGAAAGTGAAATCTAAACATAATCGAAAGATTCACTAGATAAAGTTTCAAAGAACTATCTTGAATCCTTCTTTCTGTCTTTCGAAAGACTAAAAAAAAAGATCTGCTAACGTCTTATAGTAATAAAATTTCTAAAAATGAATTTAAATAAAAACTATATTTATGTACAACTTTTTTTTCAAAACCTAAAAGAAAATTAAACAAAAACAGTAAAATTCTAAAAATTAAATTAAATTAAAAAAATCGTATTAAAAGAATAAAAACTAAAAATTAAAAGAAAGTTAAATAAAAAATAAAATAAAATAAGTTTCTAAAAATAAGATGAAATAAAATAAATAGTTTTTTTTTTTTTTAAAGCAATAAAACCTACAAAATGTAAGAAAATTAAATTAAACAAGCAATTACAAGACAGCAAGACAGTTACTGGCAACGATGTGACCGACAGATTTACTAAAGTTGGCGTCCACTGAACTGGAACATGTGCCAATAAAAGTGTGCGGATCTCTCTACAGGCAATTAAACGGTGGGAGCAAGAAAACTAGATAGGAAGAGAAATTGTGAAACAAAACCCATAGCTGCAGGTTGTGTCGGATTATTTGCCGAATGTACGATAGCAAGCTCACAAAGTTTATTTTTCCCTCTCAAGGGGGAGGACACCAGGCTACTACGCACCTAGCGAGTGTACTAATAGGACAGTGTTAGGCTTCACATGCCTTTAAGTTGGCTCTGACCAGTGAAAAGTGGGCAGGAGAAACGGAACGAACGCAGGCGTGGAGACTTTGCAGCACACCCTCTTTGCGTGTCCAGCCCTTTGTACCCTAGGGAAAAGTGTTCTTTGAGTAGGATTTTTGCAGAATCTGGAAGCACTGTCACAATAGGTTATGACAAATTGTTCCACTTTTGATCCTGGTTTCTAGATATAAGCTGTATATTTTGGTTGCCCTCTTTCTAGCGACGCTATAGAACTTAATGGTCTCCTCGAAGCTGTCTGACTAACCTAAAATTAAATTCATAATTTTTAGAACTTTTGTTTACTAACATTCAGAATTACCTAATAAAGAAAATTACACTTTTTCTCTCCCCTGTAGATCATGGTTCGCCAATGTACAAATGGGACCACCTGATGCGATTTTGGGTGTAACCGAGGCGTTCAAGCGCGATACAAATCCGAAAAAAATCAACTTGGGTGTAGGCGCATATCGTGATGACAACGGTAAACCATGGGTGTTGCCCAGTGTGCGCAAGGTAAGTTATTAAGTAATTTTTCTAAGGCTTTTTATTAAAATAAATTGTTAAAATAATATTCAAGGCTGAAGAACGCATAATTGGTAAGCAATTGGACAAAGAATACGCCACAATCATTGGTATTCCGGAGTTCTATAATAAAGCCATCGAATTGGCGCTGGGCAAGGATTCTGAGCGATTGCAGGGAAAGCACAATGCTACAACACAGGTAATATACATATGTATATGAAACAAATGAATCAGAGAAAAGTAGAGCATGTTTAGCACTGAGGCCACTTTGATGTGAAAAACCTATTTATATACATACATAAATGGCTTTGGAAGAAACAGATATTGAACGCTGCAGCTCATTAGTAAAATGCGATAAACATTGTATAGGATACAAAAGATAGCAGCCAAAATAATGCGCGATAACAAAACATATCGATAACAATAATAGGTATATCGAGAAAGTATTGTAATTTATTGATTATTACTTTTACAGTTGTCTCTTTCTGTTATTGTTATCGGTATTAGGTGCGTTCGTTTAAAATCTCCAACAGAAACCAACCAACTGC